TCCCCAATAGTTAACTTCATATTATCCTACACTGAAATGAGTTTGAAAAAATAAGTTTATAAACGAAGCAGCAGACATAACTTGTCGATAAGGCAATATTTCATCCATACACTGGCCTATTTACTCAAAATAACCAAACACGCATTATCAAGCTGTACTTAATTCAAGTAATCAATAAATGTATTGGTTTATTTATCTATCTCTTTATCTAATAAGTTGACTATACATTTCTCCGCCTCGTCTGATTGCCCATTTTACGATCTGTGTTTATATCTACTCTCTCCTCAATCCGCCCATCCACTCTATTCAGTCTATACATTGACTCTATCATATATACTCATTTACCTGTTTATTCAGTTGTAGATTTGTCCATTTTTTTTGTCCACTTCTTCCTTTTTTGAATCTCGTCTTTTAATCATGGTACCAGACGGCCTAAACAGCTTTGATATTTTGTCTGCATTTTTAGACGCTTATTATTGAAGGCGCTAAGTCTAGAGGGCCAAAAAATCGCTTCCAGCGAGTGTGTGAACTCAAAGAAATCCGTCTTGACGACGTGACAGTCAGGACGATGGAGCTGGCTGACAAAGCTTCGAACAATTTACTCAGAACCGTGATCCTGTTTTGATTTTTATAGACTAGACCAGAGACTTGGCTATCTGTTTGTTGTTGTTGATTATGATAATAATGATAATGATAGTGGTGCTAATAATTATTTCAAGCATGATTATGCTATCAAAACCGCTCTACTTCGGACTGAGATGAAAGATATCAAGGTGAAGTTAGAAATATCGGAGAGCTGGTCAGGAAGGGAATCCTATTATATATTTTGTACATTATCAAGGCAACCTCGAAGACGTCAGCTGATAGCTTCATTGGGTCATGGTACGTCTTGGCATTCTGCTTCTTGTCTTTACCTCCGGATTCTTGTTATATCAACCTATATATAATTATACACACAAACACAGGCACAAGCATGCACTCACACTTATACATCACTAGACAGCAACGTCCTTAATCCAGAACTTGACTGCACAAACGCTTACGCAGAGCATACGTTGGCAGAAGTGTCGTTTGCACATGTCCATTTGGCGTATTCTTTACGGGCTGACCGTATATAAATGCCAGTCTACCCAGTATTTCAGGAGTTTGGACATTTTGTTCGAGCAGGATCACCTACAGAGCCTTCCGGAGTGGTTAATCAGAGGCGAAAGACGGCCGCAAACGGCCCGTTTGCTTACGCCCAGTGTGATCGTTATTTCGTCTCGCCTTTATAGATCGTCAACGTCATCTCCAGTGCTAGCAACACCACGAATACGATCAGGCGCATCAGCAACGTCGACGAGATCACTTGTCCCGAGATGATGTCTCTTCAGTTGAGCATGGGATTTCGGCTGAGGCTCCGGGACACAGGCCTTCTTCTCCTCTTCCTCATGCTCGCCGGCCTGTTCACATGTTGCCTCGGCTTGTCGAACTTTCAACCCGGCGTCTTCCGGATGGGTCAGAAGCGTTCGGCCTTCCGAGCCTCCGAAGCTGGCCTCGAGCCCGAGTGCCAAGTCGAGTTGGTCGAGAGCATTCCAGAAAACTTGACCTTTTCTCCAGGAGCCGTACGACATTCGTCGACCTTTGAAGCTTGGCGTACGCTTCTTGAAAACGCCGAGAAGTCGATCTATCTGTCGGCATTCTACTGGACTCTGCTGAGCAAAGACACCTTGACAACGACTAATTCTTCCGCTCAGGTGGGCAACAAAGAGTGGGAAGGTAGGGGAGAAAATAGTCAGGAAAGGAAGGGCGCTGGCAAACTAGGTTGAGAGGAGTATGTCCCATGTCGGTTTAAGTTATCCGAATGGCTAGTCAACAAAATCCATCTATTTCACATGAAATTGTCCGAGGAATAAATTGGAAGGCCGATCACACCAGAAGACCAAGCGGATTCCTCTTGCCCTGACGCAGTTTGGCTTGACTGGGACCTTTAGATTGATGCTATCCTCGAGGCAGTCTACTGAATTAGTTGCAACAACGACAATATTCCTGTTGGATATACTATTGAATGACACTTTCACTTGGAAAGGAAATTAACTCAACTATCATAAACCAAAAGTTTGCTTGAAAAGTTACTTTTATCTAGTTAACTGCATCCAGCTTTATGATGACCAAATTATATAAATACATATTTTTCTAAGGGGGGGGGGTGAAGTGGGAAGTTGACAAAGTATAAAAGAAGAAAGAAAGAATCATATTT